ATTTTCACTTGACAAAGTCCTTCTGAATGCGGACCTCTCTTTTTCTTTTCTCACAGATAAACTTTAATGAGAAATGTTGAGAAGAAAAGGACCTGGCACATCATGAAGTCAGCCAATTAGCAAATTGAACGTCACTTCCAATGATCAGCCGTTTGATCGGCAGATTAATTAACGCGATATGATCAAAGGAGGCAAATTTCGCTTTCGGAATCGTCGGCACGGACGGCACTTTTCCTCTTTTCTCGCGAGCAGGGGTGCGAATATAACACGTTTGGCGTTGTACAAGGTCGACCTTGAGCTGCGCAAGATGCTGGTCGGTGGGGCGGAAAGTGCAAATGAGATGTGCCTTATTGATTCCCCGTCGCTTTCTTCGGCAACCAACCGACTCCTTTTCCTATGAATTGCAAATAACTCTAGTGTGCGGAAAAAAGCAGCCGGCTGCTGACACGCTCAGGAGTCCAATATTACGCAGGAAAAGTTATAAATGCGAACAGGAGATCCAATTTGAACTGGTTGAGAGAAGGACGATTTTCCCCCATATACCGGAATTGGACTTTCACTTGCGAGCGCTCATGTTTTATTTATGGGACTTTTTATCAGGGTGTTTTGCAAGAAAAAAATGCAGATGAATGCCAGCGAAAATTTATTACTTTGAAAAAGTAATTCATAAGTATGTAAAGGGAAGGAATACTAAAAGTACTTTAATCAAACTCTCATGAAAATAATGCGAATGATCTTGAGAGTGACTCTGAGGTGATTAAGTTATAAGATGAATGATAAATAATGGGAAAAAAATTGATTATATCATTTAGAAATTTAATTTAGAACCTAAGTTTAAGAGTAAAAATAATATTGCAGTATAATTTTAAGAAATTAACAAACAAGACCGCTTTTAATTTCGCAAGCTTCAATTAGGTTTTGAAAGTGAGCTTTAGGGATTTATAAATTTAAATGCAAATCTTCTGTAAGTCTGTCACAATTTAGTAATCCTTGTATTCATAAAGTTACTGGAACAACATGCCCGTTTTCTTAACCCTTTTCCCAGCAGCTAACCATATAAGGGAAGGAACATCAAGAAACTTGACTTCTCTCTTCGCCGCAGAAGCCTAAACTCTGCTCCATTAGAGCTTCCACATCCCCAAACAAAACAAATGTGTCTCTCCATACCAAGAGGGAATAATAGAATTCCTCTGTCGACCGTTGATGATGTTGCTTTTAAAAAGGCGTCCGGTTTGTTCGCGATACTTTTACGACCTCCTCAGCCGCGCGATAAGCAGCTTTGTGACTGAGTTATGGTCAAAACATTGTCTGTATGTTGATGGGATCTGCAAATGTAGAAAAAAAGTAAAAGTGCTGGTGACTGCTACTCTCGGTGAACTCTTTTTATTGTCGGTCTGTGAGTTTTATTATCATTGCTCCAGCAATCGACGCTTATTTTCTTCACACACGAATCTTCTTTTTTGCCTTTTACTTTTAGTGCCAAGTAATGTAGTAAATCTTCCCCCACATGGCTAGCCAATTTGGTCTGGACTTAAATTTTTCAATTGAATTTTTTCATTCCATTAAATTTAATTATAATAGAGGGGCTTCTAACTGCCCGAGGAACGTTCTGGAAAAAAATCCAAGAACTTTCATCATTGCTTAGCTGGTGGTGCTTCTGAGGGATATAAAAAGTAGCTAAAATGTTTATTAATTTTATGAAGTAAAAAAGTTGAGAAGTCCTGCCAGGTAATTAAAAACTTGCAGGTGTCCACCAAGCTCCAAAACGAGTAATAAAAACTTGCAAGCGACAATAAAACATTCACCTTTAATTGAACAAAAAAATGTTATAAGAGGTGGTAAGAAATTAATTAAAATTCGATTAAAAATATAAAAGAGGCATGCTTGTGAGATCTGAATAAAAATGCATTTTAAGCAAATATTACAGATTGATTTACAACTTTTAAAAAAATAGTCATCCCTTGAGAAAATGTTTCCCTCGAGAGAAAAACTCAAAAGAAAAACGGCAGCCGCCTACTCGACCTTGTCAGCCTCGAGACAAACACTCGCTTTCTTCGTCGAGTGTTGTTTGCTTTTATTTCTAAGGCAAATAAAATTACTAGCACTTTCATTCTTCTTCAGCATTGCATTGTTTCTGCGTGGTTAGCAACCCGCTCGACACGGCTGCTGAGCGCGTTGCCTGCATCGGCTATGATTAAATGCAAAACGCGTCCGACACTGCTCGCATCAGCTGCATTATTTCCATTTTCCATGTGTGTGGCGTAATTGATTTGCGAGCAAATTTTCTTTTCAATGCCACCGAGCGTGCGAGTTCCTGTGTTTACGAGTTTTGTAGGAAAATTCATTTGCACACATACATACTCTAGTGGAAAACACACACACACTGGTGCGGGAGATAATTTGCATATTTTCAATGCCAACGTTGATTTCACGCGCGGCGCTTGGATTCAGCTCGCGTTTTGAATTCACCGAGTGTATCGGATGGTTTGTGGTTTTGCACGGCCAGCTACTGAAATGACGTCAATTGATTTAATTATGCATACACAAATTTAATTGACAATGAGGTTCATTTACGTGGAATTCTGTAACTTATTTTCATTAGTTAAGTAGATTGCCACTTACTCTAAAAATAGGAATTTTTTTTATCTATTTTGTAATATTCAAAGAAGGATAAATTTAATGAATGAATTGCTGATCAATAATATCGACCATATTTTTGGTGTTTTTTTTCTAAGGGCTTTTTATGTATCATAAAAGTTTAAATTCCATATTTCAGATTGTTTAAGATTTTTAATTATCTTTATGTATAACTCCAATTTAATCTGAAGGAGCTTCACAACGTTAACTGAAAGGAAGTTATTATGTTAAATGTATGTAACAATTATTTTTTCATCTGGTATTACGATCTTTTGCAATAATAATTGCTATATAATTATTTCTGCCTCTAATTTGATAAAATAATCTTCTTATAACATGCATTATATGTATATTCCATTAAACACTTTATTTTTACAAAAAAGTTTGCAAAAATTTGATTTAATAACACAAATTAAGTTGCAAAATATTGTTAAAAATAAAAACATTTATTTAAAAACCATCTTTTAAAATGAATGAAATTATAAACCCAAAACTTATTGTTTTTGAAAATTGTATTTCATCCTAAAATAATATAATTTAATTTAATATGGATTATTTATTCCACCATATTTTGGCAATTTTTATCAAAATATTAAGAGCAAAACTAAATTTCTGGAATTTTACCACAAAACCACTTATTTATATTTTGAATAAAATTAAAACTTATGATGCAAAAGAACTAAACCAAAAACTTATCAATAAGAGTGTGTTTTATTAATAAAACACAGCTCAATGTTTTCTCAGTTAATCAATCGGGCGGCTCGTGCGTCAGCAGGAGCCTTTCCTAAGTTAGACTCGCGTGTGAGGTCGCAAAGCCTGTGGGGGTCGCGAAGAGTGTGTGTAAGTCAGGCGAGATGGTCACAGGAGGAAATCTTGAGGCAGGATGCCGAGTCTTAATGAAGTTTGCCCAAGGACCGCGGGGGCCACTCCCCGCCCACCCAACCGCGTCGCGAGCAAGATAAACACGGTAATGCAATCTCGGAGTCGTCGTCGTCGGCCTGGTCGGTGCGCGGAGAAAGAAAAGCTGCTGGAAAGCAAGATTGATGGCGCTTTTTGCGGTTTTAGAGAAATTACATGGCAAATCCGATTGGACGACAAAAGCGGAGAGCATCCCTGAACAATTGGAATCGAGATTACTTTTTGCAAGAAAGGTCGGCCGGTTCTCCGAAGTGCAGATTGAAATCTAGGCGTAAAAAATATAAATTAATAACGGCTAAATTCATGTTTAAAAGTAGAATAGCAAAAAAACATATTTACGGTTTATTTTAGTTCAATCCTAAAATTGAAAATTTATGTTTGTTGGAAAATTAATTTCCGTAATTTTAAATTTCAGCTATGAGCTATAGAAATAAAACTCTAAACATAGTTTCTTTCAAACAGAAAGTATACTATGGATAAAAAAAGTAATGAATTTTACCCCATCCTTGAACGGGCACAAGGTAAATGCTGCTATAAAAATGAATCCTTTTTACTCTCCGTACAAAAGTGACCAGACCACCGCCGCTCTCAGCCAAACACTTGCAGCTCGTCGTCTCTTCTCGGTATACATTTTATGTGGTTACTTGTGTGTTTGTGCACTCTCTGGACATAAAAGACTTACGGCTGAGCATCACGCTTAGGCACGTGGAATGAGAAGAAAAAAACGCAACCCGTATCACTTTCATCGGAAAAGGCCACTTTCGCTCGCACACGTCATCCGTTTATTATGATGGACGATGAAAAAGTCTCGGCTTTCTCATTATCAGACTTCCATTACATTTTGTCTGCGTTCTTTACCTTCTCTCACAACCAATACAATTTTTTTTTTTTTTAATTAATCTTGGCATTTATAAATTTAATCAAAGGATCGGGCGGAGCTCCTCTTGGAAATGAGGTGCTATTCGGAATTTCCTCATAGCAATTAAATTCTATTGCATGAACGCGTCGAGACGACGGCTTTTTCCACCACCAGCTGGTATTTAACATGCAGCTGGGATGTCTTTGTCCCAGTTCCAGTAGTGTATAAGTTGCTGACCAGCCGTTCACATAACTTCAGGGGTAGAAAGAAATTGTTTCCAAAAATACAAAATACAAAAATAAATCAATTAAAATTTGTTGAAGATTTAAAACTGTCCACCAACTCTTTTATTTTTTAATTGTGCATGCATAATTGGGTGTATTGACTTGATTAGTTAGATTATGGTGCCATGTTCATTCACGACACAGAAATATTAAAAAAAAATTTAAATCATTATCTCTTATTTAAATAATCTCCTTGAAGCGTTTTGGATAGGAGGTATTCAAGAATCCAATTGGAGCTTTTGTTACAATAATGACAGATGAGAATTAACATCAAGAGTTCACAATGCAACAGAATAATTTTTTTTTCGTAATATTTTCCAAACTAAAAAATTTCCTCGCATATGAATGGCAGCTTCGCAGTAGTGGCTGAATTGAAATTGAACTTCGGCTTCCCACCATCAAGGAAAGCGCACATAACCTGCGACCCACCGTCATACGCGGCCGTGGGATCAAAATAAATTAAGTAACTGGTGTTAAGTTTTTGCGGTAGAAAATCCGTCTGCGTTTGGCAATCGTAGCTGAATCCGCTCGTCACGTCAACGACTATGGAGTTTGTCATCGTCCAGAACCGATTTGAGTACCCGTTAACGGAAAGATTTCCAACTTCAAAAAAAGAGGCTATAACGTTATAAAGAATTTAAATTGCGAATTGATTTTGGGAAAACGTACGCCCCACCGCCTGCATGCATTTTGTGGCTGCAAAAAAGTTTGGCGTGGTCAACAATCGCATTCCGCGCTCGCAACAAAACTTAATTGCTTCTAGATAATTGTACTGCGTCATGAAATGAAATTAGATTGTTTTTTTTTCCCCACTTGACAGACTTACACTTGCAGCTTGGTATTTGACATGGTAAACTTTCAAATCGCTGCATTTGCAGACCCACTCTCCGTTGAAGTAGTCGACGCACGTTGAAGCGTCTAAACATTAAAATTTAGTTAATTTTATGTTTCTAATTAATCCACATACTCAGATTCAGCGATGTTAGATTGTTCCTTGCAACTACCTGCAAACAAACCATTCAAATCAGTAGATTTAATATCTTGAATTCCATACGTCAATGGTGTAGCTAGTTGAAGAGTTCGCGCATCCGAAAGCCTTAGAAACGAGTTCATCATTCTGAAAAATAATACAAAAAAATCTAGCAGAGAATAACGATTTTTAATCCGAATTGATCACGTCTGCCGCCTTCTTATCCAGGTCTTTAATAATCTGGTCAAAAACCGCCGGCGACTTGTCCCTGGCGCACTTTGATAATTGGTACGCCTTGTCGCACTCGTCCATTCCATCTTTATTTTTTATTTTTTTATTATTTTTTTTTCAAATGATCTGAAAATTCACAAGTTTTATTATTGCACTCGTCCACGATGGCCATGTTTTTCATCAGCTCGTCTGCGTTTGTCATATTCAAACTTTCCAGCATTGCGAATATATCGCTCGCCACAATCTTCCCACCGATCAGCTTTGTTAAAATTTAAAATAAATTAAGAATGAATGTCGTTAAAAAGTTATACCAGGCCCACAGCGTCGCCAACACAATGCAAAAAGCACTAAAAATATAAATGTTATTATTATATATTTTTTTTAATAAAAATAACTCGGCACTTTTATCCGCATATCAAATATCGTCGCATTTCGCAGCAAGTCAATTTCGGCTAATATCATTTTTCATTAAATTCTTCACTAAATGATAATTATATCAGAAGGATAATACTTGAGGTGACGTTGAATATGAATGAACATTCGTCCACCATCGCTTGCTTTCCACTCTTTGACTGAGGGTTGCCTAATTTCTAAATTAAAAATATAATTTTCAATTAGTCAAAATTACTCTTCTGAATTTAACATATTTTTTAAACCTCGCAAATGTATCTGAATTTCTTCTGTCCATCGTAATCGGCGAGCAGAACTTGTCCGTTTTGGCTCCAAATATGCACTGCCACATAGTTTTCTTTTCCTCCGGCATTGTCTGGCTGTCCGGGCAGCCACTTTGCCTCGCCGCGGAACAACCGTTTTGCAGAACAGAATCCGAAAACCGACTCACAGCCTTCGTCCGACCCCGAAGTCCAGAAAGTAGAATTTTGATCCTCTGGATTTATAAAAGTTAGAGAATAATTCATTTATTTTTCTCTCTTGCCATTCCTCACTTGGCTGAGGTTGCTAATGCTGGCCAAAGCGTCGTACTTGCGTTGCGCGTCTAGACTCAGCAGGGACATTCCTAGAGCACAACAAGCTTTCGTCGCTTCTAAATACTTTACAAGGACAATAATTTAATTTTATTAAAATCAGAGTTATATGTACAGTCCTGGTGTCATTTTTGTAGCTGAAGAGATAGTTGCGTAGCCTGTAGGTAAACAATTGGCCATACAGGGAAACGTCTGAAATCGACTATACATCAAAAAAAGGCTTGAGAACAATTTTAGACCCGTGTTCCTAAATTATTCCCTTTATCAAGAATGTTTTCAATTCATTTTGAAATTCATAACCCAATCTATTTTCATATACTTTAGTTTTAAAATTGATATCATAAAAAATACAAACCATAAAAAACAAGCCAACATGTGTGCGCTTTTATACTTTTAAATTTTTTTAAAGTGCATTGAAAATGTGGTTTAAACTTACTCTTTAGAACCATTGATTTTCCATTAGCTGACGAAGTAAAAAGCGTTGGCTGCATATATATTAATTGGGACATTTAAACAATTTTGAATGGAGGAAGGGGGGATTTTACGTCTTTCTGGCATGTGATGTTTGGGCAAACAGGACTTGTGCATTTAGGACCTTTTGTGGGTGGACCCTGATTTCATGAAATTTAATTATCACTTGAAAATAATTTCAGAAATTTTAACCTGGCAGGCGAAAATGGTTTTGTCCGAGCACCGCCTGCCGCTGATCGAAACGGAGCCGTTTTCTTTTAAAATTTTCATTTGGACACAGTTCTGGTCCTTGGCCAGGCTGGCCAGGGGCAAGATGTTTTGCCAGGGTGCGGAGCCGTTGGCCAAACACCACCCGAAGGTGCCACTCGCGAGATCCTTTGCGCCGCCGGTCCAGTAGTTTATGTTGAACTTCCAGTTCTTAGCTTCAGAAAATTTGGTTTTAATTAAAAAAATAATCAGAGTTTTTCTAAAATGGAACCTTGGAGTTTCATGCAATCGATCTTCTCTTTGCTTTCGAGGGCAAACGGCTGCATTTTCAGGCCAAAGCACTTGTCCGAGTTCTCATGCCAAGTGCCCTGAAAATTATTATGAAGAAAAAAGAACAATAGGAATTTATTGGGACCAGAGATTTTCCTAATAAAATGGTTTGGCCACACGCGTCCAACCAGAATCCATGCAAGTCTGGATCTAATACATGCCAAATTATAATCAAAATTATAAGATTCATAAAAACTGAAAACCGGCAAGCTCTTCATTAGTCGCAAAAAGGGACCTCTGTTTTGATATAGTAAAAAATTATTGCACTATTGTAGCAGGAAATAATTTTTACGTTGACTGCTGCGTTTTCGTTTGCCGTACATTTCCCGACCACAGCTGGCTACACCGACAAACCGAATGGAAAAATGAAAACAGATTTAGTAAAATTAGAGCGCGTGGCGTACGTTGATGGTTGTCGAAGTCGTTGGAATTGTTGTAGTTGTTGAAGTTAAAAGATGAGTTGTTAATTCCATCGTGCCTGGCGAGGTCCCATTGGTCGAATTAGGAAACACTGTCGTCAAATCAGAGCCACTCGAGGAATCTGCTGATGCTGATGAAATGCTGGTTTCTGAAACCTCGAGGGTGATCATTGCAGATTGAGGGGTTGTTTTCATAGCAGAAGTTGAGCTCAATATTTGTACATCCAAGGCAGGTGAAATTGAATCAGCGGAAGACGGATTTTTTTGAACCAACTGCACATTAAAATAGCTCAAAATAGCTGTAAAATAGCTCAAATTTTCAACTTGAGAATTACGTCAAATGAGGACTGATCGATTGAACTCGGGCTGCCGTCGCTAAAAGTTGACAGAGGCAAATCACTCGATTCAGCAGCAACTTCAAGCTGTGTGGTGCTCCGTTGTTCGTACGGTGAAATTTCTGAAGTTCTTTGAATTCGTGATTCTGTCATATTTAAACTGGTTTTCTAAACGGGATTTCATACAAGTTCATAAATATTTAAAAAAATAATGAGATACAAATTTGTTGATGAAGTATGCGGGTTGTGTGCGACGATTGGTCGAGGCGACAGCAGAACACTTTTTTCTGCCACAACACTTGATTATAATCTGGCGTTTCCTCGCAGCTCTTGATGCTGCTAAATTTAATATTATTCATAGCAGAATTCAAAACAACATCAGCTTTCATTCTTTACCTCCGAATCCTTTGTTCCGAGCAGCATATCTCTAAGGAGTGAACGTTTTGGAGATTTAAGGGAGAATACAAGTTAATTTACTCACTCCAGAATTAGTCTGAGTCGCCTGAATCAAGACTGATAGTAAAATTAAACTCTGAAAAAGGTCGAACCAGAGTGGCATGGCAATTCTATATGCAAGCAGGTTCGGCCATTTTCCGCTCATCACCAGATTTGACTGTTTAGCACAACAGGAAAATATTTTCATACTGACGCAAGCACATCCTGCGTGCTACTGAAACTTCCGAACAAAATACAAATAATGACGACCAATAATAAAAACATGGGCTAGATTGTCTGGAAATGTCATATTTACTTTTATATTTTTATAAATGAAAATCCTAAGAAATTTTTAATAGATCCTTGGATTAAAAATTGCAAAAAACTGTTTTTATTTATCTTCATTGTTTGAACCAACCCTTGAAACGAAGTACTGAGAAATAATAAACAACGGGCAGTTAATGAACATAGCTTGCCAAGAAACTTTACAGACTTGATAACTCGCACTTGCAGCTCGCGTTTGCCCTGTTGCTCAACGGGGCTGGCAGCACCGGCGTAAAAAGCAGTTCGCAATAAAACGCCGAGAGTCAATCCCACACGCTTGTGTGCCAGGAGCTCCGTGATGCGAAAGAAGTGCGTTCGAATGAAATAAAAAGCGGTGCATGCACTGTGTGCTCCGGTTGAGAACGGACGAACGGTGCACATGTGTGCGGTCTTTTCAATTAAGGACGCACCTGCACGCAATTCCGTCATCAAACATTAATTTGCTGCGACTCTATCCTGAAATTGAAAAATCAATAATTTTGTTGGGAAATAATTTATTTAAGTTTTGTGACTTCGTTTTGTCTGAATAGTAAAATATAAAATTCGTTGTTTTCAAATTAAAATAAATTATTTTGATATACCAAATTCCTAAATAAATTTAGGCAATTCGAATTGCAAAGAAAACGGAGAAAACGACAAAATCATTGCTCGAAGCACTTTAATATCTAGGAAAATAGCTTTTAAATTATATGAAGCAGCCGCCTCAACACTTAATTTTACTTGCCGCAAGCTGAGTTTTTTTTCCTTGGCACATATTAAGCGCAAAATCGTTTAATATTCAAAAATTGATAAATAATAGATATTTCGAAAAAATGATTTAAAATAAATTTTTACCTTTCAAATTTTCACACAAAATGATAAATTTAATTACTGCATGATTTCTCTGAGTCAAAAAAGAAAAGTTTTAAAATTAAGCATCTCTTTGTACATCAAAACTTTTGGCTTTTACTTTATAAATTTTTAAATAAAATTAGAAAAAAATTATTACTAATAATAAATTAAATAAGGAAATTTTAACGATAAACGTGGAAAAAATCCATTTATAATTCCAACATGCCAAATTATATACGACTGTTTCTACTGCAGCAATTTCTATAAACTTGAACGTTTGAAAAGGCGCAGTTAAATTTTACTGCTTTTGCAAATTCCTCTGTTTGCACTTGGGGCTCCTATGGAATAACGAGGCCTAGCAAATTTTGGCTGGAAAAAGATGCAAATGAGTCCGAACCAGTATCCGAACGCGCCAACATAGTCATTAAACGCGCGCGCCTCAAAAACAAACGCGGCGATCGAGTCGCACCCAAAGGCATTCCGTAGCAGAGAGAAAAATAAAGAAGCCGTTCTTTATTCTTTGCAAGGGATATTGTCTGCGTTCTTAGAACGGAACTTGACTGAGTGACTTGCTGAGTGATGGACTGGCGTGCAATAAAAAGCGGCGCGCAATAATTGCTTCTGCCGTTCTCGATCCTTTTGTACGCGCAGAACAAATAGCAGTCGCTTTGGTGAATGTTTTAATGAATGGCTGAAAATCATCCATTAGACTTTAATTAATGCTGCAAAAAAGATGCTATAAAATTGTAAAACGAAAAAAAGCAAAAGTTTTAAGAAGATTTACACAATATCCTGGTATTAATCTCAAATTATTGAATTATGAAATTGGCTCTTAATAAAAATAAAAAAAATAAAAATCGGATTGTATCATTTTAGTGAATGCCGTAAAAATGTATTAAGTTTGTCTGAAACTGCTCGCAAGATAGATAATAGATAAGTAATATTGTATTGTATAAAATGTATTCTTCTCCTGTTAAGTCGTACACATGTTGTGTTTAATAAAATTTTCTAATCTAATCTAATAAAAAAAAAAAAAAAAAAAAAAATGAAAACAATATTTCAAAAACAGTTTATTTTTCAAATATCATTAACAATTCTTATAAACTACATAAATAGTTGATTTGCTTTTTTTCATTAAAATTATTGATTTTTATTGCTTTTTATAAAAAGAAAACCATATTGATTTTTTATTTTTAAAACCGTATTTACAAAAATAATAAAAACAGGTACATTTTATATTTCTGTAGGTCCTGAATTTTTCAAGGTTATTTGGAACTTAGTCGCAGCTATAAAAATGCAATTTTCGACTCACTGAACTAAAGAAAAAATTATTATGACACTCTGTGGATGCAGTTAGAGCGATGAGAGAAAGTGCAGTTATTTACTTCCGCTGGAAAAGTTCTGAGAAAAATAGAAAAAGTCACTTTGTTTTATCGTTTGGAAGATGTGGAGTGAAATTGCTTTTCCTTTTTTCCTTGCTCTCGAGGGGAAAATTGAAAATTAATTTATCATATTATCTGGGGTTTTTTGCCCCATGCAATAGACACAATATTAACACCAAACGAAAATAATTTTAATTTCATGGGTGGAAAATTTTGTTAGAAAGATGGATTACCAATTTTTTTTAAGTGTATGAAATAAATTATAACAAAAATCATTATCAATAGGAAATCTGTTGCAACATAATAATTAAAACATTACTTTTATACTGGTCATAATTTATATTTTGGGTGTTTAAATTTTTTACTTTGTCCTCAACCTATTTATATTATCTCTTGCTTTGGACAATTTTTCGTCTACGATGAAAACAAAACACATGATCTGACTCAACGTTGCCATTTAGAGATTAAAAATCAAAAATAATATTCTACGTCGCCAAACCATATTTTATATTTATGCTTGTGACGCACACCAGCAGGATATAACAGGCGTTATCAGTGTGGTCGGCAACTATATTGATAAGGACTGAAACATTTCCTCACTGAAATTTGCTCACTCGCCCGAATCAGACACAGTTTAATTTTATAGCGATCAACATGGAGTTAAAAGATCCAACGTTTTGGGCCAAGTTTTGTGAAAGCGTCATAAATGTGGTGTTAGTTACGATCTGCGCGCTGGTCGTGCCCATCATTGTTGGCAACGTGATGACTGTAGTTGCCGTTTTCAACAAAGCCAGACTCAACACGCCATCTAATATTTTCATAGTCGGTTTGGTGGTTGCAGATTTACTGGTATGAAAACTATAATGCAAATAAACAATTCTATAAATTTTAAATTTAAATTTTTTGGTTAATTATTGGATTAATCATTTAAATTTTTTAATTAAAGAAGTTTTTTTATACACATTGGTCGTCAAGAAATTAAATTTCTTGCAATTTCAGTTTAATCAATTTATATTCTTTGGAAATTTTCCAAATTATTTTGGCAAAAACAAATCATATGCACTAAGGATAATTTACACTTAATTAATTGATTAAAATTTCAGTTGACTTTATCCATCCTCTTAGACGCGGCGATATATGCAACCATCCAAAATGAAAAAGACGCAATCACGAAATTAATGGGTTTCGCTGTGGCCAACAGCCAGCAAGAATTAATAAAAAAACAACTAAAGTTTGACATGTTCATACATCGCGCTTTCCTAGCTGTTTTGGTGCCTATTTTTGCAAGTTTCGCCGCTTCAGCCTGCATCTTGGTGTTTTTTACTCTCGAAAGACACATTGCGGTGGCGCACGGCGACGCTCACCGAACTTCCATCACAAAAAAGTATAAAACTTTTAATCATTTAATCACTTTTAATTGCTATACCAGATAATTATTAATATTAAATAACAAAATAATTGACTAAAAATAAATATTTTTTAAATTTATTTTTCTTTTTCTTTGCATTTAATAATGAAGTTTACCACTGAATTATATTTACAAATATTCATAAAATGATAAAAATTTCAGGAAATCTGTGACGGCCGTTCTGATATCTTTCATGCTTGCTGCCCTGTTCACCATTCCACTTTTTACCTGGAATCAAGAGCAGAAGGACAAAATTGATCGATCTTGTGACCAAGTCTACTGGCACTTAATTCGGACAATTGGACAGGGCTACTATATCATAGCAAACCTGCCTTTGTATGTAATCATCATCATTTTGGTCCTGGTAGTCAGCTCGCAATTGAAAAATGATTGTGGCAAAGGCATGCCAGAGCACGTAAAATCAATGGAGGTGATTTTTTTTACGATTTTCTTAAAATTATTTTTTAGCCACAAACTTTTCGCTAAATCAAATTTTACTTTTTATAATGATTGAAAATTTATTAATTTGAGCTAACTCTTTTAGGCTGTGAGGTTATTGTTGATCTGCTTCATCATCTTGTGGCTCCCATTTGTGCTTTTCATCGCACTGGTCGTGAACAAAATTCTACAAGTGCACTCTTTCTTATTCTTCGCGTTTTCCATGCTTGCAATAGTAATAAACTGTGCGTTGAGACCCATAATATATATGCGGAAAATGCCATATTTTGGCAAAGCATTTCGACAACTTGTGTGCTGCAATAGAAAACGAGTGCGGTACGGCAGTGTTTGAATTGTTTATAAACAGGAGTATCAGATCTCAGCTGCCTATGCCACGTGGCCATTCCATTGGCCTGATCATTGTGGATAGCCTAATAACACATGTGATTAAATTAAATGACTTAATAGTAGATTAAATTTTAAATTAAGAATGAAGAATCTCATAATTGAGTTAATGTGAATATTAAAATAGGAAATCGGATTTGAAACTTGTCACATAAAGTTTTAATGTGAGCGTGCGGATTTCTTGTAGATCTGGCTGAATGGTCACCCACCAGAGCCAGATAAGACAAAATAAACTCAATAAATTGTTGTTAATTGAAATAAGAAAAACGTGGTTTTTAAAAGTATTATTTTATCATTTGAATGTCAATTTTTTCTTTAGAGTAAAATAAAATGGCAACGCTTAAATAAAAATAATATTGAATTTTCTCTCATTCACCTCGAATATTTTAAATACCCTTTAACTTTTATATTAAATTTTATGGTTTTGAGTGAAATTTATTAATAGAAGTTCCCATTTTTTAATTTTCTGAAATTGTACTGAGTATTGACGTTATCCAATAATATCTCTCAAAGTTTTTGCAACTCTGCTTAAATCAGCCATTCTAAAAGTAGTAATTGTCGGCCAAATTAGTACGAATGAGCCCAGCGCGTGGAGAGACATAGCTCTGGTGCGGATGTTTTGCGTTATGTAGACAGTAACCGTGCGCAGAGCATCTTTGACAAGACTGTTTGAGGCCACCAGGAGGTCCATGAGTGACGCAAGCAGATTATTTTTCATCCTAGAAGATATAAAAGAGATTCAGAGGTGGAAAAAGACGCAGTTATTTGCTAAAGGAATGTTTGGACTGAAGCAAGGCGCAATGTATGCAAATGGCAAGTCTATTTTCAGAATAAAGCGATTTGCTCTGTGAACTTGTGAGTGAAGCTGGGAAAGTTTATTGACTTTATCAGTTGTTAACGGCTTGAAATGCTGGTAAACAGGGAGACTCGAAAGAAAACTAAAATGTGTGTTATTTGAGCTTACAACTTACAAGGCGAAAATTGTAATTACGTTGAGGAATGCCGTTTAAAATTATTTACCTTTTTATTATCAAAGATTCATTTTAAAGAATTTAATGATGAATTAATCAATCAAAATAAAAACTTTTTGGTTATAAGTAATAAGTGATTAAAATTACAATTTTTCACATGCCTCAATGACAATTGATAAATAAATTGCTTTCTATTACAAAGATTGAAATATACAATTAAAAAATGATTTGAAAAAAAAATGCTCGGTTGAAAATCAGCATTTACAAGTGTGTTTCTGAGATATATTATTTTAAAATTTTCTTCTTAACTATAGCTCCGGTAGTGAATTTAAGTGCCTCATTAGTATATATTGTTTACAAATTATTACCAAAATTTGTGTATACACGTGTCCCAAAATGGCCAGAATTAAATAACCCGCTCCCCTTTAAGAGGAAGGGAATTCGTTTACACGTCATTTGCCCCCTACGGTTCCTCGTTCTTTTCGGCTGGATGGGCACGTGTTGCTCTTCGTTAGCAATCAGGTCACACGTGTCGGCGTTCCTCGAAAAACAAACCGCCAAAAAAAAACAATCCCCTGACTAATTGGACCGCAGAATCAGCCCGGCCAGAGAAAAATAAAAAAGAAACGTTCGATTCGAGAGAAATTTGCTCCCGACGTCTGGGGAATTAAAAGAAAGGCTGCAATTAATGAATCGAGCAGGCTGGCTGGCTCCGAATTTAGATGCAACTGTCGACTGATGTCTGCGGTCTAGCATTTTGCCCTACACGCGTGGCGCGCGGGTTGCCTAACGACGCTAATTGGTTAAATCGGATCCAAGCAGGGAAGGAGAAAAATTGCGGCGATGGAAAAGAATGGGTCTTTTGTTCTCTTGAGCTGATCACGATTGAAACTCATTGTATTGAGCAATGCAATTAATTAATTAGCAGCGTTTTCATGAACGTTTTATTCATTAAATTTTCCTCGTTCTGACATTCTGATGGAAAAGAATAATTTTTTTTTTTAAATTTAGTCATTGTATTTATCATTGAAGAAAATTTCAAACATAGGTAAATAATAAGTATGAAAACTGCAAAAAAAATTAATAGTAAAAGATAAATAAATAAATTTTGACACCTTTGTAATTTTAAATTTTTCCTGATGCAAATTAATGTTAAAATTTCAATTGAGAGATGGCCAAATAAATATTTATCTTCACACTCTCCTGTTTGCACAGTTCCGACACTTGTGGTGTTCCGAGAAGATCACTTTCCACTTGGCTCAATCAGTTTCATACCACCCTCACTTGTGTGCTCTGCGAGGCAAAAACCAGCACCGCAAGAGAGGGGCTGTATCAATCAGGACACGAAATGCTCATTTAACTCGCCACCTGCCGCCGTCGACGCGTCGTTTGCAAAATTGCTGGTGGGCGGTCGCGCAATTGAATAAGATTCTCATTAGATCCGATAGCGCTGATTGATGAGACAAACGCCGCACACAGAAGCCGCAGAGTTCACAGAGAGACGTATTCGGGTGGGTGGTGCTTCATATCGATCACTTGTGTTCAAGGGTGTAAAATTAATTGCAAACTCAAACCCGATGGAAAACAAGCTAAAAAATTTCTGAACTATAAATTTTCTTGCTACATATTGAATCGAGAGAGAAATAATATTTCATATCTATCAAAGATAAAAGTTTGGCCGAATATCAATTTTTAACTTCAAATTTAAGCAAATTAACTTTAAACTGGAATATTTTGTCTCATTGCATCGTAAATGCAGTTTAAGTAAAACGAAAATAAATTAAACACGTAGTTCCTATTTTATCTTTTTTATTATTGATTTCGTTTTTATTTTCCCAATTTTTACCACACTGTTTGCATTTAAGGAAAAAAATGTATTTAAAAATGAAAATAAATGCTACACAAAAATATGAAATAAAGTAGTAAGTAGTGGTGCAGCAACTGTTTAAACATTGAAGCGGAATGATGTTGAATGTATAATAAAGTTGCTGCCGCCCTGCTCCCGTCAGTGAAAATTAATTTCCTGCTTGAAAATGAAAATTAAAATAGAAAAATATTGTGATAAATTTGATTTCAGATAACAAACATCACAAAACAAAATCAATTGTGCTCTAAAATTTACATTTTACTTAATTAATTTCCACGAAATTTAATTTCCGTTTAATTTTATTCAGCTGAGAGATTATTTAAACCAGATTGTCTTAAAATAATTTTTTTCTTAGTTTTGTTAGAAAAATTTAAAAGATCTAGTACAATATGCAAAAATAATCTTCTGTCATAGTCGGTTGGTAATCGGTTTTTCTTATGAGGAAAAAAATACTCGATTTGATAAAATTTAGCTTCATTATTACACGTTAAATGAAAACTCGTGCCATTCTTCTGCAACACAAGTGTGGCAATAAAATGGCAAGGTGAACTTTGCAGCATTGGCCTTGGTCGAGGAAATGCACACCGGTGTCGACGCCACTTTCTTAATGTGTTGCCATTAATTCACATCAGCTGTGCATCGAAGCGAACAGCTATTGGCGCACTTCCCGCAACCGTCCAGCGAGAAAATAATTTGCACAGTTGCAGTTTTAACCTGCGTTAATTGCACCGTTAAGCGCTCAGCAATTGATTAGACTATTGAAGTTAACTACGGAATGATTTCTAATTTTAAAATCATTTTTTCAAACCTATCAAAAGAAATTTTGGTATTGCTACAATGTTTAAAGTGTTATTAATTATTTATTAAAAATTATAAAATTAAATATATTGGTATAAAAAAGTGATTATGCAAATATCTTTAATAAAAAAAAAAAAAAATTTAAATTATTTATTTATGAATATAATGAATATTTAATGTTAAAATTATAAGCTCTAACGATCGTAAATGATTATTTTCCTTTACGCTTTGAAAATATATATTATTATATTATAATATCATCAAAAAATTTTAGAGTTAAAAATTTCAGCTTCAAACTTCAATAAAAAAAATCAGATCTTATAAGCAAAACATTAATTGATTGTTAATAATTCAAATAAAAAAGTTGCACTTAATTGCTAGAATAAATTTCAATCTGCGTCATTTCAATTCAATTTCTAAAAAAATATCCTCTTACAATTAGATAGATTATTATCAATTGAAATTAAAAATTAATTAGATACACTATCAACCATCATTTCCTCTTCCAAATCATCAAAACCTGCAGAATGATGCCGCTCGCTTTGTCAGTGTAAAATGAGGCTTCGCTTGCTTATATTTTGCGCTCTCATTGTGCTTTTGGTACATTATCGTTGAATTTCTTTATCAGCCTATTTTAATTTAAATTCAAGATTTATGCCACCTTTGCTGAAGCTCAGAAAAAGAAGGAAAGAAACAAGGCAAAACAGCCAAAGAAGAAGGCTAATGTGCTTAAAAAGAGAATCTCTAATTTGATACCCACTACCAAGAAGGCGACGAGCACCAGCATCATAACGTCGTCACCAACTTCACAGAAAAGTGCAGGGAAGGCTCAAAAACAGTCTACCAAAATCCCTGTAAAAATTCAAAGACCGGCACCTGTACTTGCAGAGGTTCCTGGTAAGCGTTTGTTATACAATATTCATAAATATTTTCTTGAATTTTATTTCCATTTCAAAGATAATCATTGCGATTCGGTATTAATTTTATTTTACCTTTCTCCAAATACACTAAAAATTTGTAAAATTTAGGCATCTTCATGCATGTTCTGTGACTTCAGCGCAAGTTTTTTTTTTATTATTAGACAGATCTTAAAATTTCTCATTATTTTCTAATCCAGAGTCTGCATTTTAACGAGACTGGCAACATGATTAGTAATTCATTTTAATTCCAGGAGTTTTTATAATTTTCAATCAATTAGACAATAGTATGCAAAATTATATCTTGCTGCAGTTTTACAAGGCTGAAGAACAGACCTACGCTATATTCAACCAACACTTTGTAACTATAATTAATTAGCATTGATAAATGTAAAAAAATTAATAAATTTAATAATTTATAATAAAAGCGAACTTGGACCGATAACTGGAAATTTTGCTACTCTATAAACATGCAGCCGGTTATGTTTCAAATAAATAGCTCTGACCACTTCCGTTTCACAAAAACATTGAAGGGTATAAAATAATAATTGCTAATTAACATAAAAAATTCTTATCAAAAACAAAATGTATTCTTAAGATGAACTGGGTGAATTAGTGAGCTTGGGATACCAGTTCTGGTTTGGTGCGTATTTTGACGCCACCCAGTGGGTCACGTGCGAGGAGGAATTCCTGGCAGAAAAACTACCATTACCTTTCAACTTTGGCGAAGGCGAAGTTCAAGAATGTGCATCTATTGTCTCGGATGGACGTGTTGTCAGGGCAAATTGTGATGACTCGCTGCGATTCGCTTGTCAAACAAAAAATTCAATTGTAAAATTATACACTGAGAAAACTGTTGACTTTTTAGACGAAAATTATTATTCCAGCCAGAATCATCACAAAGCTGCGTTGCAAATTGCAGTCTTCAAAAGTGCAGCTCAATAGTGAGTTTTTTTTTTTATAAGATAACATTTTTACAATTGATGGGAAAATTTTGCCAGACGAAAAGGACTAAATCTCTTGAAGGTTTATTTCTTGTCTATATTTTTTCAGGGAAACATAAAAGTAATAATTACAATTTTGAAGATCTTTACCTTGGTGGACTTTGGGTTTATGACTGCGATTCCTATTATTTGTTTTCATCATATTCGGTGGGAATTTACTTTTATTTTTCTCAACATGAATAATAAATAATTTAATAATAAAAGGCAAACATCACTGAAGCACGTGACGTATGTTGCTCACTGGGAGGAAAGTTGGCCTCCTTTTCGACCGAATTTAAGCAAGAGTGCTTTAATAACTTAATCAAAGTTGACTTTGAGCCTGAAATGATCGACGAATTTTGGACGTCCGCTTCGGGAATGGACTGTACGAACTCGTATCGGTGGTGCTACGGGAAAGAAATCCGTCAACCGAAGAATTCATTTTCATGGAAGCCGTCAATTTTGCCCAGTAGTGGCAATGGAAGTTGCGTTTCTCTGAATATAAAACGCGACGATGACCTAAAAGTTATTGAAACAACGTCTGCGGCCATTGGAGAGGGTGACGTTTTGCAGTTTTACCAAAACAAGTACAATGAGGATGTCTCTTCCGCACTTGAACGGCCTGACTTGAATTCATTTGCAATGGAAAATTGCTCTAGCAAAAAGAAATTTATATGCGAGGTTGAATTTTGCCATTTGCAAAAAAAAATAAGTTTTAATTAAAAATTTAATCAGCTTAAATTCTTGAAAGAATCTCCAGAAAACGCAATAAGTTCTTGTAGAAAGTTGCTCAATATTACTGATGGTAATTTATTTCCATTGTATATAAAATTAAAATTAAAAATTAATTTATTTTTTAAAATTTAGGAGAGTTTGATGAACTTAAAAACACAAGTAGCTATAACTTAAGGAAAAAGGTTCCACTTAATGCAAGAGAAAGAATTTTTATTAATATTAAGTTTTTAGTGCTATGTAAAATGCATAATGGATCTAATGAGTTTGGTAAAAAATTAATTTAATGAAAAATAATGATTAAATGAATAACAAACTTATTTCAGGCACAAAAGACCACACTGTTGGAATATCAAATACTCAAGTTTTCAATTTTGAGTGAAGAGTTAACTTTCTCAGTTTTCCAAACGTGCGGAAAAGCTATGAGTAGGAATTATTTGAAAATAAAAATTTGATTTTTATCGAATAAAATAGATCACACAAATCATTGTGAGGCGGCATTCAGAGCTTTCAAATGCTTTGAAAAACAGGCACCAGTGTTTGCCAGGCAATTCAAATTCACATTTTTGCTAAGTATGTACCTTTTTTTCAATTTTAATGCTACAAAGTAGATTTATTTTGACAGGCAAGGCTGTAAGTTCAAAAATTGCAATTTTGTTGTTTGAAAAAAAGAATTATATTATATATAATGCATATATAGGAACTGGCCACTTACCGCCCACGTGAATGCAATTCCGCTGATGGCGCGGCTGATGAATTCTTCTTTAATGTTGGATGGAAAACATAATCATAATTTGGGTCAAATTTTAATTAATTTTCTGCTAAAATTTAGACAGCCCAAGCAGCTAACGGTTCTTTGGTCAAAGGACCGGACGGAAAATTGTGGTTCAAATCAAAATTTAAAGAGTACCATGTAAGAAACTACTGTCAAGTATTTTAAAATTTCTTCATTAAATTTTTGTTCACAAGAATTATGAAGACGCACATAAAACGTGTGCACTGTTGTACATAGGTGGAACAAATGATTGGGACCTACCAGCGTTTATTTTCTACAAGGATTTCAAAGCATTTTACGATTGGATTGAAGGTACATTCAAAAGAATGCAACAATAATAGAATTATTGATCATAAATTATCTTTCCCCAGGAGAGAAGTCTGACAATTTAATCGCGCAGACTTTTATCGATAATAATAAAGAGAGGTGGTGCACGGTTAGGGGACCATCTACAGATGGAAATTACACGAGAGTTAGATACGAATCAAGTACGAATGTGCCACTGGTAATGAATTTCACCAAAATGCCTTTGGAGACGCTCAAGGTTCCGACTTTCCTTTACATGCCTAAGGGCAGCGACTTTAAGTACAAGCTGGGCGTTGCTTGGAAAAAACAAAAGCTGCAAGTCAACTATTTTTATTGCCAACAGATTTAGTCACAGAAAATTGGCGGCTATATTTGTAACCAAATAATTATTGATCAAATTGGTTTCTCAGAAAATTAGCAAAATTCGGATGCAAGCAAATAAATTTTAATAATGAGGAAATTAAAAATTGGGCTCCTCTTTTTAATCTCCTTGCTGATTAATTAACAATTTAATAATGTAAACAAATATTATCAGATATTTTATGCATGGATACTAGCAATGGAAATACATTTATTTTATTTATTTGCAAAGCATAGTATTTTTCTTTCGTCAAATCAACTGAATTAATACAGGATTCGCTTTATTATAGTTTGGTACCAAGTTATGTAGAAAATTTAAAGTCCGCATATATTCCTCTTTAAAATAATAAATTTCAGAGGTGACCTGTAGATATTTGAGATTTGATGTATTTCATATTGAATGTATCACTGACAGACGTGGAATTTGCAATTTGGTTTGCTGCAAAAACACAGTTTTTTGCGCGCTTTGCTGTCGCAATAAATGTTTTGAGCGTCGGTTGCAAACGAGCGTGCGTAATAAAACACGAACGCGCTGGCATGATTAAAAAGCAAAAATTACGCGCGACGCAAAAGCACTCAGCCATCTGGAAGGAGGCTAAAGTGGGACGGCTGCGATTGCCTTTTGCATGTCGGTCGAGTTCCTGTGAGATGAGAGGTAAATGAATTTGTCTTCTTATGCAATTGCCAAGTAAAACACAAAAAAAAAGTGTGTTTCGTAATTTGAATACAAAAAAAAAGAATATAAATTGCATCATAATGTCTATTTAATTGTATAGACGTTTTCAATATAACAAATAAATTCTCGCAATTTTTGTATACAACAAATGGAAATTTTAGTTCAGTTAATACATTTCCTGCTTTGTAATATATTATATTGCTATGTATTTTATTACAGTCATGGAACTTTTTTTTTAAATTCAAATTTTAAAATATATAAACTAGTACATGCTGAGTCATGGATTGAATTGAAGAAAAGGTTGGTTTTGTCAAAAGCCCTGAGAAAATATTGCGGCCGACTTTCTCTGTTCAGCATCAATAAATTAATCCTATCAATTCAGTTTCAGATATATTGCTTAATATATTGTGGACAAAGTTTTATCAATATTTCTTTGCATTCAAGCGCCAGGACAGGTTATGCTTTTCTCAAATTCATTAGGGCTGCAAAGTCGCTCATTCTGACGGAGATGTTTTGAACCAGCACTGACTTTGTACGTGGTTCACCCTCCGCCAGATGGAACTTCACTCTCCAGGGTGGTAGTTTCAGCTTCCCTTGTGCACCAGCAGATGCACTCCACCTCCAATTAATATTATAGTATAGTCATGTTATTTTATAAAATAATATTTTTTACCTCATATTAATTAAAGGTCCAAATTACTTCTCTTGAATTATAACATTTCATGAATATTTTATAAATAATAGTTATAAAATTAATTTTGATGAATTTGTTTTTTAAGACACTTTTCAAATTTCACGCTATATACTCATAAAAAAATTGCTGTTCTAATTTCTATTCAGTTTAAATATATAATATACTTTGGTTGGAATAACTTTTGTAGGGAAATATTATGAAAGGGAAATTCATCCAACGAAATTTGCTCTGAAACTGGAAGAGCGTATAAAATAAAATTTTTGATTGTTGTCAGCAGCTTTTTAAAATTAAGAGCAAATAGAAAACATGATTTAGAAATTGATGGAAAAAAATCAATATTAAGCCATTAAAAAATTAATTCAAATTTTTTTTACATATTAGTTTATGGCTAGAAATGTTAAATTTTTAAAAATTAATGGCAGTCTAAGAATAGCATATAAATTTTTTGCAGATCAAATAGCCCAAAGCAAATAATTAATCAATGTCAGCAGAAAACGAGAAATGGAACACTTCTCAATTGTCAAGCAAGCTGAAAACTTCGTAAGATAATGCATAATGCACATATCTAAAATAAAATGAAAGTAAACACATTCATTAGAGCAAGTTGACAAATTGTTCGATTTGCTAAATTATGTTGTTTCCATCGGAGATAAATAAAATCCAATTCACGATTAACTTTTAAAGAGAAAAATCTAGGAATAGCAAGTTTTGTGAAAAGAGATATAAAACTGTAAATTAAATTTAAAATAAACAAATTCAGCATCTTCCGCTCTTGAATAATTTGAAATATTGTTCAAGGCAGGTTCGAGGGTAAACAAATAAAAATTAATTTCCATATGATTCAGCTGTTGCAATGTACCCAAAAATTACCCTGTTTATTTCTGAAAGCAGGAACATTTCTGTATGCAGCCAATAAAAGTTAAATTTTCAAGAGTTAAAAAATAAATATGATCTCTTAACAGTGTTCGGGACAAAAATTAAGTGAACCGCGGTTGAATTCAACAGAAATAGTTACGCATCTTTAAAGGTCCAGGGGGCCGAAAGGGGGTTGGAATTTTACGACATTTATCCGCGTCCCGCTTACGTGGGCCCAGCAAGAAGTCGTTCTCTCTCAGTGCTGCTGCTGCAGATTACGTGCACTTGGATGAGCTGCAAAAACATAACTTATTCCCCAACTGACAGCGGCACGCATGCTGCCGCCGCAGTCGAGGGTTGCTTGCTCTTTCGCTCGACTCGCTGCTGCTTTTATGTCTGTCGGTGACTCTGCAACAAGCCGCTCATTATTGTTAGCGCGGCCATTGTTGCGGCTGCGAAAGGTGAAACCGGAGTCGCTTTGTTGGTAAGTAATGACGGTTTCGCATTTGCTTGGGGCCACTCGGCTAGAAATAAAGTGATACAAATTATTGTGCGTGACAAAAATATCGACTCTCGCGCGCGCGAGAGAGAAGCTGCAGCAACAGAGACGGAATACAAATGGCACTTCAGCAGTTTTAAAGGGCAACCGTGGATGATTTACAAAATATTATACCAGATTGTGAGGAAACGAGCAAGAAATATTCAATTATGATGCATCAAAAACATTTATTATTAATTATTAATTAAATCCCTCTTCTTTCGACTTCTGATGTTGAAGTTTAAAAAATGAGTAATATTATAGAAATTTCCATGAGTTATTTCATTAAAATACGCGTTAGCAAAAAGTCAGCAACATGATTTTTTTATTGCCTATAACTTAAATAATTTTTGATTATACTCGTGAAGTGATATCAAAAAGTGTGGCACCATTTATGTTGCGCAGGTTGCATAACGTTCACAATCAATTTATTTTATATGATTTTATAAAACAATATTATTAAACATTTTTAATCATCAATGACATTCATGAATACGAAAAATGATATAATAAAATATTTTCATTATTTTTAACCGATCTGAACATTAAAAATTAATCTTTCTCATTTTAAATACCGCGCACTTTCGAAATTTTATACCATCTCTGCTCCGCTGCATTCGTCGTTTCCAAGATGAAAATAAATGTCTTGGTCAGCTCATGATCAATAAATGTGCGACACATTTCTCTCCCTTAGGTCTGCTGCTAAACCTCGGCCTCTCTCTTTCTTTCTGTGCCGCTGTGCGTTGCCTTCCATCATCTCTCTCCTCGTCTGACATGCGTCTTTATTTGTGCTGCACCAGCAGTTAACTGCGCGCACCCTTAGTCGACCCAGTAACTCATTTTCCCGCAAGCAAGCTGGGAGAGCGACTAAATGATCCCATAACTGCCGCTCCAAACACACTTTTCCGCAGAAATCGTTCAATGCTAAAGTGGGACGCCGGGAAACGTTAAAACCCCTTGAGACCTCTGAACCCTAGAAGATTATAAAGTTGGTTTAAAGTAAATTCTTTAAATATTAATAAATAATTTAAACTATAACATGATCAACTAGTAAAACATGAATTTAAACTAACATTTATTCCAGCATTTTGGGATGCATGTGAAGTTATATTTTATTTAAAAAAATTTATTAAAAAAATTAAATTTATGCCTATTTTTTAAAATGGTTTTAAGGAAATAAAACCCCTATTTATGTAGATGGATGATAAAATCTAATATTTACGCTAAACATTGACATTCAATGTTTTTACTGCATATTTTCTCCATTCAAACTGTTCATACCTTTAATAAATTATATATAAGTTTTGTGTGTGGAAAAATTACATAATTATTATTGTGATTTGCGGATTAATTTTCCACTCTAAAAAAGTTTCAAGTGCCTTCAGAAAGACCTTAAATTAAGTATAGCTTTTTAAAGAGCCTCTAAAATTCTCTGAAAAAGATTTCCTGCGACTTTCTTGAATCAAGTCTAATTTAAAAATCAGCGCGCGACTTCCTGCTGGAACATGCATTCCACCATGTTACCTTCCGCCTTGAATCATTAACCATGGCAAATTGAGCAAACTTTCGCAACACGTTTCTCAGAAGCAATTTGCTTCTTTATTCAGTGACATTTAATTCACATGCAGCAGACTCTTAACTCTCTCTTACTCTTCTCTGTGAAAATTTCTACGTAAGGAAGTTAGAAATTTTTGCGTGAGCAGCGGAAAAGTTGATTTAATGTGACAACCTGCCTTAGCACAGTCCTTTTGCCAACTGCACACGATAAAAAAAGTAAAGCAGCTTTCCTCTTGGATTAGCAGTTGCTGTGAGAAACTTGATGTTTTTTTTTTATTTCTACTTTTTTGCAGCCAAAAGCCAAAGTTGTGCGCTCTTCTTTACTTTCGTGTCTGCCAACATTATGAGCAAAGGCTGCACCACAACGCCTCTGCAATATTCAACAGGAGGGAAAGGCCAAAGTTTTAAAATATTTCACTCATTTTTGCCATGTAATTCAAACTGAGACTGAAATTTTTTGTGTGCATTTTTAACAATGCGTTATAAGTTATGATAGTTATTGAGTCTATAAATAATTTTCAATCAATAAGAAAGTAAGGCATAATGTAATTTCATCATCTGATATCTTACATCATCTGCTGATGGAAACCTGCATGACTATGTTTGATAATTTTTAATTAATATAACAATTTCCTCATTTTTTTTTTTAACTGAAATTTTTCTGTTTTAAAATAAACATACTGAATGAAGTTGGAATCAGATTTATATTTTGAATGATCGTAATAAAAAAAGTAGAAAAAGGGAAATAATGAATTAT